CCCCCCCACCCCTACCCGACTAGGCACCAGGCTCGTGTTCGCCGTGCCCGTGAGGAGCAGCTGGCGTTGGAGAGAGAGGAGAGGGAGTTACAGCAGCTGGAGGAGCAGCAGCAGCAGCAGCAGCAGCAGCAGCAGCAGCTGGAGCCGCAGGAGCAGCAGTCCCAGCAGCAGCCGCAGCCGCAGCAGCAGCAGCAGCACCAGCAGCAGCAGCAGCAGCCACTTCCTCCTCCTGTCTCAGGTCTTCGGACCCTTGGTCTCCCCTCTCCTTCTCCTCCCTCCCCCGCCTCTCCTCCTGTCTACGGTCCCACGTTTCCTCCTCCTGACTCCTCCCCCGCTGTTTTCCCCAGTTCTCCGCCTTTGTCCTCTCCTCCTCCGTCTCGTACTTGGGCTACTCGTCGCTCTCCTCGTGCTCGTCCCTCGTCCCCTGTTCCTTTCACTGACCTTCGTACTGTCTTGTTACGTTCTAGTCCGTCTCGTTCGGCTCCTCCTGTGCTTCCTTCTCCTCCTGAGTCGGCCCTCACAGCTTCTCTCTCTACCCCTGTCACTGACTACTACCGCACGTACCGTCCTGTTCTCTCTCGTGTTCTCGCCTCTCTTGTTACCCACCCTCGTGCCTCTTTGTCCTCTGTCTCTGCTCTTACTGCCGCGGTCACTGAGTTTGCCTCTACTCGCCGCCTTGACTACGCCACCACTCTTGTGGCTGCTCCTCCTACCAGTCCTCTGGCCGTCAGGGGTGTGTCTGCCCTTGGCTGTGACGTCCTAGAGGACAGGCAGTTTGAGCTAGAGTTCCTGGCAGCCGCTTCCCCTCATCTCTGTGCCATGCTCCTCACCCCTGAGGGTGACCCTGACGCCCTTGACATTCCGACTCCTCGCACTTACGCTGAGGCAGTGTCAGGGCCTTGGGCCTCTCAGTGGAGAGCTGCCATGGACGCAGAGATGGCCTCCTACAGATCCACAGGCACCTACGTCGATGAGGTTCCTCCCCCTGGGACGAACGTAGTCGATGGCATGTGGATCTACAGGGTGAAGCGGCCACCAGGATCTCCTCCAGTCTTCAAGGCGCGCTACGTTGCTAGAGGTTTCAGTCAGCGCGAGGGAGTTGACTTCTTTCAGACCTTCGCGCCCACCCCGAAGATGACCACTCTTCGGGTGTTACTGCACGTAGCAGCACAGAGAGACTACGAGTTACACTCTCTCGACTTCTCCACTGCTTTTCTTCAGGGCAGCCTACACGAGGAGATCTGGCTGCGTCGTCCCTCTGCCTTCACTGGCACTTTCCCTCCTGGGACCCAGTGGAGGCTGAGGCGACCTGTCTACGGTCTTCGCCAGGCACCTCGTGAGTGGCACGACACTCTTCGCTCTACCCTCTCTGACCTTGGGTTCCAGCCGTCTTCTGCCGACCCGTCGCTGTTCATTCGCCGTGGCTCCACACCGTTCTTCGTTCTGGTTTACGTCGACGACCTAGTTTTCGCCACTGCTGACAGGGTTGCTTTGGCAGACGTGAAGTCCGAACTGCAGAAGAGACACACGTGCACTGACCTTGGTGAGCTGCGCCATTACCTTGGGCTGCAGATCACCAGGGACAGAGCTGCTCGCACCATTACACTCTCACAGTCACACATGGTGCAGCAGGTCCTTCAGCGGTTCGAGCTTCAGCACTCCACAGTATAGCGCACACCTCTTGCTGTTGACCACAGACTCACTGGCCCCTTTCCTGACGAGCCGTTTGAGCCTAGTGGTCCCTACGCAGAGCTTGTGGGTTGCCTCATGTACCTGATGACTTGTACTCGCCCGGACCTCGCTTTCCCTCTCAGCATCCTTGCGCGCTTTGTTGCGCCAGGGAGACACCGTCCTGTTCACTGGACAGCAGCTGTGAGGGTGGCGAAGTACCTAGCGACGACATCAGGCGTGGGGCTAGTTCTTGGAGGGCAGCAGTCTGTTGTACTTACTGGTCACTGTGACTCTTCTTACGCTGACGACGCTGAGACTCACAGGTCTACTCAGGGGTACTGTTTCAGTCTGGGTTCTGGAGCTGTTTCCTGGCGGTCCACGCGCTCCTCTTCGGTCTCGACCTCTACAGCTGAGGCTGAGATCTACGCTGGTGCCATGGCGGCACAGGAGCTGCGTTGGTTGACGTTCTTGCTCGCCGACCTGGGTGAGCGGCCGAGCTCTGCACCGACCTTGTTCACTGACAACAAGGCATCCATTCTCCTTTGTCGAGAGCCGCGACTGGAGAGCAGAGTGAAGCACATTAACGTCAGGTACTTTCTTCTGCGAGAGTTGCAGAGGCGTGGACAGGCTCGCTTCGAGTTTGTGGAGTCTGAGGCCAACACTGCAGACATCTTCACCAAGGCGCTTCCGCCTTGTGACCACCACAGGTGTTGTGTGCAGTTAGGCCTTGTTGACACTGGTTTTCGGCTTACTTAGTCTTGAGTTCACTGCTTGCTTTGCTTGTACCCTTTCTATATATCTCTGTTATTGTTTGGACTGGCCTTGTGGCCATTTGCTTGTGCTCAGAGTTTGTGGTGACGTTGTGATCCACCCTGAGCTTTGTTTCTTTGTGACTGGTCTTGTGACCGTACTCTTTTGGTTTTGCTAGACACCCCTCACTTAGGCTATGGGGGTGTGTCAAATGTTGGTAGCCTGTAGTGAGATGTGTCTTTGGGGGTACGTATGTTAGGGTTTGCTACTTGTACCCCAACCACCATCAATGAAACAACACTTCCGATCTTGAGATGGTATCACTACAAACTTAACTTGGCAACACTTAACATCACTTGCAACCCTTCGAGTGTGACAGCTTGTCACCTCCTAGCCAAGGGCGTGAAAATAGCAAGCGAGTAGTTATGCCTTGCTCAGCTTGTAGGACGAGCAAACTGGTCGAGAAGAATTTCGGCAGCACCAAGGTAATATTTCTACTCTCGTCAATACGAAGTAGTAGAGTGCGAGCTTGAAAGAACGCGAATGCATTAGATTGATTTTGACAGGCACAAGTACACATTTATATAAATTCTACGCACATGCAGGAGCAAGTAGAAAACAGTTGTTTAACTAGCTCGCAGGATTTCGCCACGCTGTATCTTGAAAACAGTTGCACAACTCCTTGAGCATTTGGCTATATCCTCCTGTTATCAAAAACTGTCTTCAAATTGCACTTGTAACAATCGCCCCTGCTGACTCAAATGTGTACACTCATGAGGCTCGCATGTGGCTCCAATATAGCTCAAATGTCTTGATGCGAGCTCACAGTTATATAACGGTTTTTACCGTTTGAAAAACGGAGTAACCGAATTGTACCTGTGTCGAAATGATTCCGCAAAGCGGAATGACCTTCGCGAGAAATTTCGATTCCCATGAGTCAGGGGATACAGTATTTCAACTGTAATCCCGAGCCCCCCCCCCCCCCCCCCCCCCCCCCCCCCCCCCCCCCCCCCCCCGTGCCACACGCACGACCGATATTTTCTCTCGGTCGTGCTGTACAGAACGATCACTACAGCGATCGTGCGCTGTACAATGCGGGACAGGGCCGAAACGTGCCCTGTCTTGTTGCGATCGTGCTGTACAGCGCGGTCGCAACAGTACTCGGCACACGCGCGTGCCCTGTGGTCCCACACGCGCGTGCCTTGACCCACGATCGGGTCTTGACTTTCGCGCTGTTGACCCGCGCGAAAAAATCAAGGCACCCCCCTTGACCAGTCAAACAACCGAGCACCCCTCGTTACACCACCCGCTCGCATGAAACCCGAATAAGCCTCGCATAAGAATTCAAAACTCATGGAACTTTCATGGTCGCTCGCATGAGCTTCGCATGAAAGATTGAAGTCCCATGCGTGCTACATTTGAGCTCCATAATGTCTTCAGTTGAGCCTCATTTGAGAGCTTCGCGTGAGCCTCATTTGAGCGCATCATGAGGGTCTCATTTGAGCGCTTCATGGGAGCTTCATGAGAACAGTGAAAACGAAACTGAAAATGCACAAACACAAAATGCAATTACAAATGAAAACAAAACACACAAAACGCAAGACCAAATGCGCACAGAACGTTCACAAAATGAAAATGAAAAATGCGCACACACACAAAATGCAAAATGCGACGCAGGCGGCTGGTTGACGTGCAAAAAATAATTATTTTGCACACAACAAACTCCCCCTCAAGCAGTCGCCTGCTTGCACTCGCATGCGTGAGCCTAGTTAAGGCTCATGCCACTCAGCTTAGCACAGTGCCAATGAGGTTCTTCAGCCACCCGTTTTGTGAGGAAATCTGCCGGCTGCTGCTGCGTCTTCACGTAGAGAGGCTCAAGGGTTCCCCTCTGCACTTCCTTGCGCAGCCAATGCCACTTGATGCGCATGTGCTTGGTAAGCCCATGCAGCACCGCGTTCTTGGCCATGGAGATGTGAATTGTTACAGAAGAGTGGGGTTGGTACCTTCTGCTCGTGCCCAATCTCCTCCAGCAGCTTCCGCAGCCAAACCAGCTCCTTGGCCGCGTGGTACATCGACATGTACTCAGCTTCAGCAGATGAACCCGCAGTTTCCACCTGCTTCTTTGACCTCCAGCTCACGGGTCCTCCCCCAATCACACACAGGTATCCACCTATTGAAGACATGTCCTCTTTCTCTGAAGCCCATGAAGAATCAGCAAAACCTGTAAGAAACAGCTCCCTTTCTCCCGAATGCCCCCCCTTCTCCGTTAGAACTTCTACTCCCTTCTGCTTACTTTGTGCCACAGCAGAGTACTGAACTCCAACAGTGGGGTATGAGTTCAAGTACTGAATGATTCGATCAGCTGCATCCATCTGTTCTTCGGTTGGATTCTCCGGGAGAATGGGGCGGGGTGATGGAAGGAGGGAGAATGGGGCGGGGTGAATGAAAGCGGGAGAATGGGGCGGGGTGATGGAAAGCGGGAGAATGGGGTGGGGTGATGGAAAGCGGGAGAATGGGGCAGGGTGATGGAAAGCGGGAGAATGGGGCGGGGTGATAGAAAGCGGGAGAATGGGGCGGGGTCATGGAAAGCGGGAGAATGGGGCGGGGTGATGGAAAGCGGGAGAATGGGGCGGGGTGATGGAAAGCGCGGGAGAATGGGGCGGGGTGATGGAAGGAGGGAGAATGGGGCGGGGTGATGGAAGGAGGGAGAATGGGGCGGGGTGATGGAAAGCGGGAGAACGGGGCGGGGTGATGGAAAGCGGGAGAACGGGGCGGGGTGATGGAAAGCGGGAGAACGGGGCGGGGTGATGGAAAGCAGGAGAATGGGGCGGGGTGATGGAAAGCGGGAGAACGGGGCGGGGTGATGGAAAGCGGGAGAATGGGGCAGGGTGATGGAAAGCGGGAGAATGGGGCAGGGTGATGGAAAGCGGGAGAATGGGGCGGAGTGATGGAAGGAGGGAGAATGGGGCGGGGTGATGGAAGGAGGGAGAATGGGGCGGGGTGATGGAAAGCGGGAGAATGGGGCGGGGTGATGGAATGCGGGAGAATGGGGTGGGGTGATGGAAAGCGGGAGAATGGGGCGGGGTGATGGAAAGCGGGAGAATGGGGCGGGGTGATAGAAAGCGGGAGAAGGGGGCGGGGTGATGGAAAGCGGGAGAATGGGGCGGGGTGATGGAAAGCGGGAGAATTGGGCGGGGTGATGGAAGGAGGGAGAATGGGGCGGGGTGATGGAAGGAGGGAGAATGGGGCGGGGTGATGGAAGGAGGGAGAATGGGCCGGGGTGATGGAAAGCGGGAGAACGGGGCGGGGTGATGGAAAGCGGGAGAACGGGGCGGGGTGATGGAAAGCGGGAGAACGGGGCGGGGTGATGGAAAGCGGGAGAACGGGGCGGGGTGATGGAAAGCGGAGTACGGGGAGGGGTGATGGAAAGCGGGAGAACGGGGCGGGGTGATGGAAAGCGGGAGAACGGGACAGGGTGATGGAAAGCGGGAGAAGGGGGCGGGGTGATGGAAAGTTGGAGAATGGGGCGGGGTGATGGATGGAGGGAGAATGGGGCAGGGTGATGGAAAGCGGGAGAATGGGGCAGGGTGATGGAAAGCGGGAGAATGGGGCGGAGTGATGGAAGGAGGGAGAATGGGGCGGGGTGATGGAAGGAGGGAGAATGGGGCGGGGTGATGGAAAGCGGAAGAATGGGGCGGGGTGATGGAAAGCGCCATTATGGGGCGGGGTGATGGAGAGCGGGAGAATGGGGCGGGGTGATGGAAAGCGGGAGAATGGGGCGGGGTGATGGAAAGCGGGAGAATGGGGCGGGGTGATAGAAAGCGGGAGAATGGGGCGGGGTGATGGAAAGCGGCAGAATGGGGCGGGGTGATGGAAGGAGGCAGAATGGGGCGGGGTGATGGAAGGAGGGAGAATGGGGCGGGTTGATGGAAAGCGAGAGAATGGGGCGGGGTGATGGAAAGCGGGAGAATGGGGCGGGGTGATGGAAAGCGGGAGAATGGGGCGGGGTGATAGAAAGCGGGAGAATGGGGCGGGGTGATGGAAAGCGGGAGAATGGAGCGGGGTGATGGAAAGCGGGAGAATGGGGCGGGGTGATGGAAAGAGGGAGAATGGGGCGGGGTGATGGAAAATAAGAGAATGGGGCGGGGTGATGGAAAGAGGGAGAATGGAGCGGGGTGATGGAAAGAGGGAGAATGGGGCGGGGTGATGGAAAGTGGGAGAATGGGGCAGGGTGATGGAAAGTGGGAGAATGGGGCGGGGTGATGGAAAGCGGGAGAATGGGGCGGGGTGATGGAAAGTGGGAGAATGGGGCGGGGTGATGGAAAGCGGGAGAATGGGGCGGGGTGATGGAAAGCGGGAGAATGGGGCGGGGTGATGGAAGGCGGGAGAATGGGGCGGGGTGATGGAAAGCGAGAGAATGGGGCGGGGTGATGGAAAGCGGGAGAATGGGGCGGGTGATGGAAAGCGGGAGAATGGGGCGGGGTGATGGAAAGTGGGAGAATGGGGCGGGGTGATGGAAAGCGGGAGAATGGGGCGGGGTGATGGAAAGTGGGAGAATGGGGCGGGGTGAGGAAAGCGCGGAAGAATGGGGCGAGGTGATGGAAAGCGGGAGAATGGGGCGGGGTGATGGAAAGCGGGAGAATTGGGCGGGGTGATGGAAAGTGGGAGAATGGGGCGGGGTGATGGAAAGCGGGAGAATTGGGCGGGGTGATGGAAAGCGGGAGAAAGGGGCGGGGTGATGGAAAGCGGGAGAATGGGGCGGGGTGATGGAAAGCGGGAGAAAGGGGCGGGGTGATGGAAAGCGGGAGAAAGGGGCGGGGTGATGGAAAGCGGGAGAATGGGGTGGGGTGATGGAAAGCGGGAGAGTGCGGCGGGGTGATGGAAAGCGGGAGTATGGGGCGGGGTGATGGAAAGCGGGAGAATGGGGTGGGGTGATGGAAAGCGGGAGAATGGGGTGGGGTGATGGAAAGCGGGAGAATGGGGCGAGGTGATGGAAAGCGGGAGAATGGGGCGGGGTGATGGAAGGAGGGAGAATGGGGCGGGGTGATGGAAAGTAAGAGAATGGGGCGGGGTGATGGAAAGCGGGAGAATGAGGCGGGAGATGGAAAGCGGGAGAACGGGGCGGGGTGATGGAAAGCGGGAGAATGGGGCAGGGTGATGGAAAGCGGGAGAACGGGGCGGGGTGATGGAAAGCGGGAGAACGGGGCGGGGTGATGGAAAGCGGGAGAACGGGGCGGGGTGATGGAAAGCGGGAGAACGGGGCAGGGTGATGGAAAGCGGGAGAACGGGGCGGGGTGATGGAAAGCGGGAGAATGGAGCGGGGTGATGGAAAGCGGGAGAATGGGGCGGGGTGACGGAAAGCGGGAGAATGGGGCGGGGTGATGGAAAGTGGGAGAATGGGGCGGGTGAGGAAAGCGGGCGAATGGGGCGGGGTGATGGAAAGTGGGAGAATGGGGCGGGGTGAGGGAAAGTGGGAGAATGGGGCGGGGTGATGGAAAGCGGGAGAATGGGGCGGGTGATGGAAAGCGGGAGAATGGGGCGGGGTGATGGAAGGCGGGAGAATGGGGCGGGGTGATGGAAAGCGAGAGAATGGGGCGGGGTGATGAAAAGCGGGAGAATGGGGCAGGGTGATGGAAAGAGGGAGAATGGAGCGGGGTGATGGAAAGAGGGAGAATGAGGCGGGGTGATGGAAAGTGGGAGAATGGGGCAGGGTGATGGAAAGTGGGAGAATGGGGCGGGGTGATGGAAAGCGGGAGAATGGGGCAGGGTGATGGAAAGCGGGAGAATGGGGCGAGGTGATGGAAAGCGGGAGAATGGGGCGGGGTGGTGGAAAGCGGGAGAATGGGGCGGGGTGATGGAAAGTGGGAGAATGGGGCGGGGTGATGGAAAGCGGGAGAAAGGGGCGGGGTGATGGAAAGCGGGAGAATGGGGCGGGGTGATGGAAAGCGGGAGAAAGAGCTGGGGTGATGGAAAGCGGGAGAATGGGGCGGGGTGATGGAAAGCGGGAGAATGGGGCGGGGTGATGGAAAGCGGGAGAATGGGGCGGGGTGATGGAAAGCGAGAGAGGGGGCGGGATGATGGAAAGCGGGAGAATGGGGCGGGGTGATGGAATGCGGGAGAATGGGGCGGGGTGATGGAAGGCGGGAGAATGGGGCGGGGTGATGGAAAGCGGGAGAATGGGGCGGGTGTGATGAAAGCGGGAGAATGGAGCGGGGTGATGGAAAGCGGGAGAATGGGGCGGGTGATGGAAAGCGGGAGAATGGGGTGGGGTGATGGAAAGCAAAAGAATGGGGCGGGGTGATGGAATGCGGGAGAATGGGGCGGGGTGATGGAAAGCGGGAGAATGGGGCGGGGTGATGGAAAGCGGGAGAATGGGGCGGGGTGAGGGAAAGCGGGAGAATGAGGCGGGGTGATGGAAAGCGGGAGAATGGGCCGGGGTGATGGAAAGCGAGAGAATGGGGCGGGGTGATGGAAAGGGAGAATGGGGCGGGGTGAGGAAATCGGTTGAATGGGGCGGGGTGATGGAAACGGGAGAATGGGGCGGGTGATGGAAAGCGGGAGAATGGGGCGGGGTGATGGAAAGCGGGAGAATGGGGCGAGGTGATGGAAGGCGGGAGAATGGGGCGGGGTGATGGAAGGCGGGAGAATGGGGCGGGGTGATGGAAGGCGGGAGAATGGGGCGGGGTGATGGAAGGCGGGAGAATGGGGCGGGGTGATGGAAAGCGGGAGAATGGGGCGGGGTGATGGAAAGCGGGAGAATGGGGCGGGGTGATGGAAAGCGGGAGAATGGGGCGGGGTGATGGAAAGCGGGAGAATGGGGCGGGGTGATGGAAAGCGGGAGAATGGGGTGGGGTGATGGAAAGCGGGAGAATGGGGCGGGGTGATGGAAAGCGGGAGAATGGGGCGGGTGATGGAAAGCGGGAGAATGGGGCGGGTGATGGAAAGCGGGAGAATGGGGCGGGGTGATGAAAAGCGGGAGAATGGAGCGAGGTGATGTAAAGTGGGAGAATGGGGCGGGGTGATGGAAAGCGGGAGAATGGGGCGGGGTGATGAAAAGCGGGAGAATGGAGCGAGGTGATGTAAAGTGGGAGAATGGGGCGGGGTGAGGGAAAGTGGGAGAATGGGGCGGGGTGATGGAAAGCGGGAGAATGGGGCGGGGTGGTGGAAAGCGGGAGAATGGGGCGGGGTGATGGAAGGCGGGAGAATGGGGCGGGGTGATGGAAAGCGAGAGAATGGGGCGGGGTGATGGAAAGCGGGAGAATGGGGCGGGGTGATGGAAAGCGGGAGAATGGGGCGGGGTGATAGAAAGCGGGAGAATGGGGCGGGGTGATGGAAATTGGGAGAATGGGGCGGGGTGATGGAAAGTGGGAGAATGGGGCGGGGTGAGGGAAAGCGGGAGAATGGGGCGGGGTGATGGATAGAGGGAGAATGGGGCGGGGTGATGGAAAGCGGGAGAATTGGGCGGGGTGATGGAAAGTCGGAGAATGGGGCGGGGTGATTGAAAGCGGGAGAATTGGGGCGGGGTGATGGAAAGCGGAGAAAGGGGCGGGGTGATTGAAAGCGGGAGAATGGGGCGGGGTGATGGAAAGCGGGAGAAAGGGGCGGGGTGATCGAAGGAGGGAGAAGGGGCGGGTGATTGAAGGAGGGAGAATGGGGCGGGGTGATGGAAGGAGGGAGAATGGGGCGGGGTGATGGAAAGCGGGAGAACGGGGCGGGGTGATGGAAAGCGGGAGAACGGGGCGGGGTGATGGAAAGCGGGAGAACGGGGCGGGGTGATGGAAAGCGGGAGAATGGGGCGGGGTGATGGAAAGCGGGAGAACGGGGCGGGGTGATAAAAAGCGGGAGAATGGGCAGGGTGATGGAAAGCGGGAGAATGGGGCAGGGTGATGGAAAGCGGGAGAATGGGGCGGAGTGATGGAAGGAGGGAGAATGGGGCGGGGTGATGGAAGGAGGGAGAATGGGGCGGGTGATGGAAAGCGGGAGAATGGGGCGGGGTGATGGAAAGCGGGAGAATGGGGCGGGGTGATGGAAAGCGGGAGAAGGGGGCGGGGTGATGGAAAGCGGGAGAAGGGGGCGGGGTGATGGAAAGCGGGAGCACGGGCGGGGTGATGTAAAGCGGGAGAACGCGACAGGGTGATGGAAAGCGGGAGAAGGGGGCGGGGTGATGGAAAGTTGGAGAATGGGGCGGGGTGATGGATGGAGGGAGAATGGGGCAGGGTGATGGAAAGCGGGAGAATGGGGCAGGGTGATGGAAAGCGGGAGAAGGGGGCGGGGTGATGGAAAGCGGGAGAATGGGGCGGGGTGATAGAAAGCGGGAGAATGGGGCGGGGTGATGGAAGGAGGGAGAATGGGGCGGGGTGATGGAAAGCTGGAGAATGGGGCGGGGTGATGGAAAGCAGGAGAATGGGGCGGGTGATGGAAAGCGGGAGAAAGGGGCGGGGTGATGGAAAGCGGGAGTATGGGGCGGGGTGATAGAAAGCGGGAGAATGGGGCGGGGTGATGGAAAGCAGGAGAATGGGGCGGGGTGATGGAAGGAGGCAGAATGGGGCGGGGTGATGGAAGGAGGGAGAATGGGG